AGCGAAGGGAGAGTGGATTTCAAGACTGTAGAGATTACCAAGCAAACATTAAGTGAATGGTGGCAGAAATCGAGAGAAAACTAGGTATTTTCTTATTCACTGATGGCAAGGGGGTTTCATAGCCTCACTTTCTTTGCACTGCGGAGTGAATATAGATTTCACATTTAAATATTCTAAGCTTAAATGGTAAAACAAAATGGCTAGGTGGCGTAAGCTACCGCCCGATCCAAAGGGCTCAGCCGTATTCATCCATCCATCATCCATCCATCCATCCACGGTGGCCGCGGAATAATGCAGCCTTTCGGATGCCCGTCGAATGAACACTATCTGATTCTTCGCACCGCGTGTCCAGCCCACGTCATGTCCTCACCTAAAGAGTGTATCTTACACCGTGACCACGACCGACTGAGACAAGACCGGTTTTTAATCCTCTTGTGACGGCTTACAACCAGCTCCGCAGCAGCGCATCCGGTCGTGAGCCGTCGCAGGAGAGGCGTAAAAACCGGTCTTGTCTAATACCCCATTTACACGGTCGTGAAGGTTCCTTTTGCTAAAGGACCCTTATAATGAGCGGTGAATCACTTCTCGATCTTCCGCGCGTGACAAGTGCTCGCGACCCAAGAGAGTGGGCTGATTCAGCGATTGCAAAGGGATCTATGTTAAAGGTATCTTTAGGCTGGCCGTGCGAATGGGGTATTAGTCGGTCGTACTCGGCTGCAAGTGTGTGAACGGGCCTCGAGACGAGACCAGTTTGGTGACTGCCTGCGATGCAGCAATGCAGCCGGTCGTAGGCTGCCCCACAAGGGGCTTAAAAAACAGGATTTTCGCATCGCGACTTCTGCAGCTCTTTAAATTTCACTTCATGGTACGCAGGGTGACCATGTCACACTGCTCAAACATCTTTGCAAAAGACACGGCCAAGCGTGTTTGATTCATACACATGCGTGTATGCTTCGGACATGTCTACGACACTATCTGTATAATCAATGTGACAGGTCTGTCGTACAAGGAAGAAATACGGCACAGAGAGTGTGTGCACACTGTCTCTTGTATGATGTATACATGACTCGCACATGGTGTCATTCAAAGAGCACTTCGATAACGACCAGAGAATAGGGGAAGAAGGAGCTCCCCTCTTATCAGGATTCTCCTTTGGGACTCCCGTATTTGTGCAGACGTCGCTATTTTCCTCCCAGAAGATTATACATGCCTTGCAAGTGACGTCACGCTAGCGAAGGGCCGTCGAGTCAACCACCAGCATGGTGGATACCGGTGTTCGACATCATCATGTGACGTAGGTGCAAGGCATGTATAGAAGATTAACCCGTCACTCAAAATTCTTACAAAGTAGCTTCCCTCTCCTCCTCTTACATGGTGGTCAAAAGTATGTGATGTGACGTCAGTGCAAGCCATCTATTGGCAGTGCAGTGACCTCTGGAGCGGCAAGGCCGGTAGTGCTGATGTTTTCGACGTCAGATAAAGAGGCCAACCCGGAGCACGGTTCGGCGACGAGTGCTGCGTCAGCGTTGTTCGGCTCAGACTCGGGTCCTCACTGATTAGACACGAGTTCCGGCCGAACGCTGACGTCACAGTCGCATCCGGTCCGTGTCTCGCGCTGGCCTCCAGTAGTTGACGTGGGAGAGTCAGCAGTATGGCCTTGTTGTGCAGGGTGTTTTAGAGCGCAGCTCTTAGGGGCCCGTTCCCGGCTTGAGCGGCGTCGCCGTCGGCGTCGGCGTAACCAAGGTCATCCCAAGGTCACGTGGCCCCAAGGTCATCCCAAGGTCACGTGACCCCCAAGGTCACCCTAAGGTCACGTGACACCCAAAGTCACGTGACCCCCCCGAGGTCACGTGACCCCCCCCCCGAAGTCACGTGACACCCCCAGGTCACGTGACTTCGGGGGGCATCCGCATCGTCATCATCACAGATGACGTCATCAGTGACGTCACTGATGACGTCACCGACATCCGCATCGTCATCATCGCTGATGACGTCATCGGAGACCGCATCGTCATCGTCACTGATGACGTCATCAGTGACGTCACTGATGACATCATCGGCATGGTCACGTGACTCCCCAAGGTCACGTGACCCCCCCCCCCAGGTCACTTCACCTCCCAGTACCCTTCCCTCCTCCTCCTCAAGAGCTGCGCTCTAATTCGGTGTTACAGGAAGTTCTAAACGGCTTTCACTTTTTTTTTTAGGCTATACAGATTTGTTTTTAAAATAATAGCCATAGAAGCTACACTGATGCGGTTTGTACAGATGAGTTTAGGGTGACCACCCGTCCCGTACTCGCGGCACTTTACCGCATTGAGGGCTCGTGTCCCGCGTCCCGCGAGAAATTCCCAAATCTTCTGAATGTCCCGCATTTCACAGTGTCATATAATTCACTCTGAAACTCGTGCTGCCGAAGAACGGCGCGGAGGTCGCTGGGTGATCGTGCGAATCGCAATGGTACGCCATTTTCTCTCCAAGCATTGCGGGAAGCGACCGTCGTTTTTGTAGGAGACCCGACGCGCATGCGCCGTTCTGCATCTCCCCTTGGTGGCAAAATATTTTAAAAAAGAAAATTGCTCGCTAAAAGTTTAAATATAAAATATTGTAATTATTTTCAAACCGCTGTGTAAAACGAAAGGAGGTGCTGCGTTTTTTTTTTTTTAAATATTGAACACAATTACACAAGGCAAAAAAGCCTGCAACTCACAACAGTCGAAAAGTAACAATGTTTAAAATTTGCATATGAACATGTTGATAAAAGTCAGCGTTTACAGGAAACAATAACCTGAAAAAGATTTACTGTCTTATTTCCATCTGCGTTGAGTTCTGCTACAGTCGATTTTTATGTTTTCGACTTTCAGCACATTTAATAACATATTTGGCATAGAATACATATCACTAGGAGTGCGAGGTACTTCAGCTTAATTGCTCCAATAGAATTAGTAGGTGTATGAACACCACATGATATTAAATGTGTTAACATAGGCTCGGTTCGTGGTGTGCGTGTTAATAAATTTCCTCTACCTTACCTCCCCCCCAGCCCCGCTTGTCCCGCATTTCGCTAGCATGAAGGTGGTCACCCTAGGTGAGTTATACGGCCACGAAAAGTCAAATAACTAGCTAAAATTTGTTAACTTTTAAGTAGGTGAAATTGAACTTTATGGTTAAAATTAGAAATTTGCTGAGCGTTGTCGATAACCACTCACTACGTCGGTGATTCGAAGACTTTGAGCTCGTGGGAAGCACGGGAGTTATACTCCTGCTGCGCGAGTGGTAACTTCAGCGCTCTACCGTGCTTACCACGTGCTCCAAGTCCCCCTACAAGTGAACAATTTAGTGGTTCTCGATAACGCTCAACAAGTTTATCTTTGGAACCATACGTATATTTTCACAAAATAAATTTATTTAACATATCTTAGTTAAATAGCCTACTTATCATGACAGTTAGAGCTCTACATTATGTTCCCCTGACCAGTGGCGTAGCCAGGGAAATAGACGTAATACGGGGTGTGGGAATTCGCGTACCGCCGCCGATTCGCCGTTTCCCACGTGGTCCGTCAACAACCCGAGTCCAGCCTGGTTCTTTCACGGGAGCGGGATTCCGCTCCCAGTTTATTGGTACAATAAAACACAACACTACAAAACACTCAATCTAAACTACAAATACAAGCTACATTACACAATTATTTACAAATGCACGTTAAGCCTAAAGCTAAACACAACGAAGGCCCTTAGGCCTCGCGTCCCGCGATATCCTAGAACCGGTCGCCACCCACTTGCCTGCCAGTGCCTGCGTCTCGGTCGCGTCCGGAGTTCTTAGAGGCCTCTCGCCCCCTGCCCCACCGAGTATATCTATCGATGGGCGAGGAGGTTTCTCCTCGTCTGCCACGGGGTAAAGTCCCTCGATGGATGGATGGATGGATGAATACGGCTGAGCCCTTTGGATCGGGCGGTAGCTTACGCCACCTAGCCATTTTGTTTTACCCTTTAAGCTTAGAATATTTAAATGTGAAATCTATATTCACTCCGCAGTGCAAAGAAAGTGAGGCTATGAAACCCCCTTGCCATCAGTGGATAAGAAAATACCTAGTTTTCTCTCGATTTCTGCCACCATTCACTTAATCTTTGCTTGGTAATCTCTACAGTCTTGAAATCCACTCTCCCTTCGCTGTCTCTAAAACCCAATGACTTTATTAAATCTATGTTGTCTTCGGTAGGCATAGGGTGAAGCCCTTTACAGTAGAGTATCAAGTGCTCAGCCGTCTCGTCCTCCTCTCCACAAGCAGTGCACACTGTATCAATTTCCTGGTACTTCACTCTGTATGTTCTTTTTTTTCACTTGTTTTTTCACTGCAGCGCCCTCCAGTGGCTAGGAGAGAAAGCGGCGCGTCGGGAGCCGAATTCGAGATCCCGATCGGCCCCGCGGCAACACGACCATGTGATTGTGTCGCGGCCAAGATTGGCCGAATGGTTTGATGGGCGCCCTCGTGAATTCACGGTGCGCCATAAGGGGGCTGCCTCCCTCCCTCCTCGAAAAAATTCTGCCCGTGACCATATTACTCATTGGCTCAAGCGGCATTAGTACAGCTTTCACGGCTTTTATTAAAACAAACCCATGAAGCCTAAAAATAAAATAAATAAATAAATAAATAACGCCCCGTAGGAGGCGTTGCCCTAGCAAACATCAAAACTACGCAGAAGTATCTATAAACCTCGAATATTTCCATTAAACTCGAAAGCCCAGTCAAATTGAGCACACTATTATTTGAGTCGACATCAATACCCCTGTTTTACGGGCACGTAAAGAGCTTCAGAATGAACCCATTTGAAGAATCGGCGAAACAGTTCTCGGTCACTGCTCTGCTGCACACGTGTCCATCGCAGTGCGCTAATTTGTTAAATCTTTAAAAAAAGTAATGTTTAGTTTTTTATGGTTTCCTGCATAATGAATGTCAAAAGGCACAGCAGGTATCTGCGTAAATCAATCAACAAATCATTACCCGTCATAGGTGTCTCTGCTCCTATAATTGTACATGGAGCAGCGTGCTGCCTGCAATGAGTAAGTTAAACAAGTGAGGTCATATATTCAATTTTATTTGTTCTAATTAAAGAAATGTCAGCTGTAAGAGTAAAGCACTCCAAAGAGCAAGAAGTACAGCCTCGGTGTCACCTGCCTCAGACATACAGATGACCCTATAGTCGGTGGCAGGTTAGGAGTTCGGGGGAAGCTCTGCCCACCTCCCTTCTAGCGTTCGCTCTGCTAAAGTGGAAAGGGGTGGGAGGAGTTCCCCTGTCATTTACTATGAAGTCCCCAGAGAGCATTCTTAATATAGAGGTAGGTATAAGCAATGTCGCAAAAAAAGGCTAATAATTTTTTTTAGTTCCATCAAGTGCAATAATGCCTTGAAATTCCTAAAGTAATCAATGATATTCTCACTTCAAGCAATAATACTTGTTCACATATAGGTTGTTTGCACATGACGTCAATCCGCCATTTTGTTGTTAGTTTATTTTCTCAAACAAATTTACTACGTTGAAGGATTACATCGTAACCGGTTGAAATAGCGTCAGCGGCGCTCTACGCATTTCAGAAGGCATGTAAATCCTTGAAATGCTCGAGTTTGGCACACGCCATACAGTTCGCAACAACAAAATGGTGGACGAAATTACGTCAGTGATAACACCCTATTGTGGACAAGTGAATTAGGAAATTATAAGAAAATAATCCCCTCAATTGTTTGAGCTTACAATTTGGAAACGCCTTCTTTTAACTACAGCCACTGTGACTCGACAATCGAGGAAACAAGGACTAAAAATAAAGCAACAATGTCACGCTACAATTTCCTTACCAAGATGTCTCCCCTGACAATTGTTACGGCACTTTTAGCAGGATAAAACATCTGGAAAAGCAAGTAAGCACTTAGAAAGATACCTTGGTGACTTTCTTGCATATGCGCAGAAAATTCTATATCATTTTTACGAATAAAAAAACGAATGAATTCACTTGGGCTTCGAGAGGATTGTGCTTGCCGATGTTGATCCAGGTCCCGTTCTTCACCACGTAACCAGTCACCAATTTCCCTAGAAATGACGTCATCGTAAGATTTACTATAATAATGACTACTAGATATGCACCTCTCTTTGCCCTTCAAGTCCAGAAGGTGAGTACGTTGGTGCAATTGCGCTTTACCGAAAGGAGGAACATACTGACGGACGGGCGACTTGTTTGGCGTGTCATCTCGTCCGTCCCTATGTTTACTCTGTCAGCGTGTCCTTGACCCTTTTACAGCGAAGCTGTTTATGGCTAGGGTTCCGTGGATTTTTCGTGTACGTCAACGGAAATCGCAGCGCCCTCTCTCTGTCGTTGTTCCAAGCGCTTGCCTGCCTAGTTCCTTCCGTTCTCCCGGAGTGGCGGTCCCGTTGCGCGGTCTAGGCGGTCTATGGATAGGGTTTCGTGTATTTTTCGTGTGCGTCAACAAAAACTCGCACCGCCTTCTCTTTGTCGTCGCTCCAAGCGCTTGCGTGCATGGTTTCCTTTTCTTCCACTCTCCCGGTGTGGTGGTCCCGTCACGCGTGTCTAGTTTCCTCTGGCTCCTCGGGGAGGCGATAGTCGTCAACGCAAATTTATATGAAGAACCAGAAAGACAAGTTTCCGTTCTCTATTTTCAATTTCACTTCCCTCGTCGTAATGGGGAGGCCGCGTATAGTCCGGACTCTCGAAGAGCAACGCGCCTACGAAGAGCAAGGGCGAGAACGGCAACGACAATGTCAGCGGCGGCAGCGGGCGGCAAACACTAACGCCTGTGTCGTGTGTTAAACAGCTTCGCTGGTCATCTACCTTCACAAAGTGGAATGCCTTGTAATTTTTTTATACTTATCTTTTCCTGAATGCATCATATTCTTTTTTTAATTTATCGTTTCTGCTCGCTGGAGCCAATTACCAGGTTGTTACAAAATTAAAACATAAATTTGATTTCTTTTTTTCTTTAGGGGCAGCAGGTTTTCTTTCGTGTTGAAGTTGTATTAATCTGCGACTGTCAGTCATGGTGTTTGTCTTGACTATGGAAAGTAGGGTACAGTGCAGTGGCTATGCCATGATCATTGGCATTCAGCTTTGCCCCTGGCTTAGATAGGAGCTGCGAACATGAGGTTACATCTTTAAGGGCTGTCTTCATTGTCCGACTTATCATATGTTTAGGTTAAGTTTACTAATGAACCGTGGTGTAATATAAGGTGTTTTTTTAAAGCTTAATTAACAGATTTGTTTTAGGAAAGCCGTGGAAACTACACTTACGCGATTTGTGCAGGAGAGGTTACGGCCAGGGGGACATAATATACGGGGCTAATCATAACGATCAGTCGGCTAAAGAGGTAAATTTGTTGAATTAACTTTTTAATTAGTGAATATAGGCATGTGGTTCCAATTAAAAACTTACAGAGCGTCATCGAAAACCACTAAATCAATACTTCTAGGAAATACTTTGAGCGCGTGGAAAGCGTGGTAGGGTGCTGAAGGTACAGTGCTAATCACACTTGTTTATAACGCGCGAGCGTGCGGCTTTCTCCGGGGAGCGCTAGACTGGTGGCATTCACGGAAGCAAAGCCAATCACGTGGCGCACCATGGAATGGCCCGCTCGAGGGGTGTCCTGCCCACTCTATCAGCTGGCGGCGAACGCGGAAGGCTGCTCGCACGCTTTTTACAAACATCATTGCTCGAACAATAAACACACCAAAGCATGAAAACGTATCAACGATGTCGTCATCAAAAAACAAAAATATATCATAAAGCACTTTACTTTTATCGCTTATCAAGCTGATAGAGTGGGCAGGACACCCCTCGAGCGGGCCGTTCCATGTTGCGCCAAGTGACTAGCTTAGTTTCCGCGAATGGCACCAGTCTAGCGCTCCTCGGAGAAAGCCGCACGCTCGCGCCATTTTGAGAGCGAGAGAGAAAAGGGGAAAGGGCTACCGGCGCTTTCCCCCTTTCTGATTGTGTAGAAAGAGTGGAAGTCCTGGATGAGAGGCATGGCCGGTGTTGGGCGTCTGCAGTGCTCCAACTTTGTTCGCGCTTTCTTCTACGTTTCAAACTCCCAAACTTAATTAGAGCCATGGTCTTGGATGGCGACAGTCCCCCGGTCATCGGGACACCATTGCTGGGTGATAGGGTGCACGAATAACGACAGAAAGCGTCGAATACTGTCCGAGGGCTTATATGTAGCTTGCATGGAATCCGGCAAGGCAAGTACGGCTGGAATGTTTTTAAGCTCCGTTGCTTTCCGCATGACTGGAAATGATGAACCATTTATACATTTTTGCTTGCAATGGGCCTATTTCAACGGAGCCGCTTTTAGTTGTAATCAACAAGCGATACATGAAACGGGAACCTCAATTAACTTTGTAAACGCCCGGAGCTGCTACATATCGTCTTGGTGTGCTGTTTTTATCTTCGTGCCCCTGTTCTTATATTTCCTTGTGAATGAACGACGAAGACGCTCTAGATGTACTTTTATCGAACCGCAGAAAGCCTCGAAGCAGCCACGAATTATTTTACTATTTGATGCAATATTTTGGGTAGTCACCTCCAATTTCTATAGCTGGCACGTTCGCTGCCGCTGCTCCCCCCGTCGCCACACTGGCTGATGCCATGACTCAAACAAAGAAGCGTGCACACTGGGCTTGAAAACGCAGATCCCGGCGGCGGAAATAAGCCTTCAACTAAGTGTTGTAGATGATAAAATCGATTCAGTCACCACTGCAAATTATCACTATTAAGATAAAATTAAGTTACGAAATTTTACAAGCTGAAACAGCAGTTATCATGAGAAAACTCGCACGCACATTGCGAGCTTACCCCATGTTCATCGGTGGTACAGCGTTCGGTGCGCGCTCCATTCACGAAACGTTCCGAGCGAAGTCGAGAGGATGGCGTTGAGGAAACGCCTTTTCGGTTTACGGACGCAATCCACTGCCCCCGGAGACAGGGGTCATGTGGAAAGCGATGAAGCCCAAAGACATTGCAGGCGCTCTCGCCTTGCTGGATTCCTTGCAAGCTATGTCCTCGGACAGTATTCTATGCTTTCTGTTTTTATTCCTGCACGCTATGACCCAGCAATGGTGTCCCGATGACCGGGGGACTGTTGCCATCGAAGCCTCTGGCTCTAATTAAGTTTGCGAGTTTAAAACAGGAAAGAAAGCGCGAACGAAGTTCGCGCACAGCAGACACCCAACAGCGGCGAAGCCTCTCATCCGGGACTTTCACTCTTTCTACACAATCAGAAAGGAGGAAAGCGCCGGTAGCCCTTTCCCCTTTTCTCTCTCGCCCTCTTTCAGTAAAACGGTCTATAGACAAGTGTGATTAGCACTGTACCACTCGTGGAGCAGGCACAAGGCTGGGGCTGCGATAACAGACGGAAAAATAGCGCGGGCGCCTTATCCCACCGGTAGTTTCGCTCCCGCTGCACAAGTGGTAACTTTAGCGCACTACTTCTCACGCGCTCAATGTACTTCCAAAGATTACTGATTTAGTGGGGAGGAGGTGGAGGGAGGAGGAGGAGGAGGGAAGAGGAGGAGAGATGCCAGCTACCCGTTGTGCAGGCAAGTGATATCACCACTCATAAATCACAGAGAGGCACGCATGAAAACGTGGTGTACTCGTTGTCCAAGTGGCCATCTACATGGGTAAGGGTTTGTGCCCATCAATCTCTGTGGCACGTCAGACGAAGTTGGTGAACTTTGTGCCGCCAAGGTCGACAACGGCTTGCTCATGGTAGCTCTGTATCTCTCGCTTATGGCAGCTCACCGAATATTTCGTGCAAGACAAAGAAGAACTTCATACCGGTCCTGCAGGAAAACATCCCATTGACCCCGAGGGACGTGCATTCGCTGTTCTGCTGTGCCATCTCGGGGAAGCACGCTCAAGACTAATGCTGAGGAAATCAAAAACCTCGGGCAGTCTTCGACAGAGCCGACAGCAAGTAGGATGACATCGAGAGAATAACGTGCTTTGTCAAAGTGTTGACTTTAACGGTGTCTTGTTCTCCCGTCTGGGTCCTGCTGTCCTGTTTCCTGGCACCGGCAGAACTTAGACAGAGTAAAGCTTCCAGATGTGAGAACTACATTTCCTATCTCCGGACAAGCGGTCAGCGAGAATATCAGAATATATACATCTTTCTCCGATTGTTTAGCACGGTATATCGCAAAATCGGAATACCTCAAGAGAGGATCAGGAAGAGGAAGGGAGGGGGAGGAGCAGGGGTCGAGGGGAGAAGCACGCGAGGAGGAGGAGGGGAGGAGGAAGGGGTACAAATGAGGAGGAAGGGCATACTCTCCCCTCAGTACCCTCCCCTCCTCCTCAAAAGCTGCGTTCTAATGTGGCGTTACAGGAAGTGGTAAACGTCTTTCATTTTTAAAACAAATCTGTTAGGCTTAAACAAAAAACAGAACACCCGGAATAGCCGCGACATATTTTGTTCACGCTTCTTGCTTCGTTCCTCGACGTTCTAAACGGCTAATGTAACAGTCTCATGAATCAGGGGTGATAATGACAATCTGTATCTTGCTACGCCCTTTGTTTCTGAAGTTGTCAAAGTGTCCAATGTGCTTTCATCACACTCACCGAGCGAGTGCGTGTGGGTCCGAAACGCAAACGGGTATAGGGTTATGTTATCCTTGAACTGGCAGGCAACCTCCATGTTTTCTGCAAACAAGAGAGTCACTAGTGAATCCAATTCACGAAATATGAAGCACCGAAGTCACATGGTTCCTCCACGGGAATGTAGCGCCATTGTCTTCCCTGCCTGCTAGCATCAGACATTCAGCTCAGTTATATTACCTCAAACATGCTCAAGAGAGCAAGAGAGCTCAATAGAGTATTTACAATATAATGCATAACAATAAAAACAAAAGCAAAAAAAAAAAAAAACTACAGATTTTGCAAAAATAAATAACACATTTCACGATTTTCTTTTCTTTTTTTTTCAGTTTTGTGGACAATGTGCGTGGGCAATGAGTTCCAGTCGGAAATGGCGGGAGAGAGTGGAGAGTCTTGAAATATGTTAGTTCTGGAGAAGTTCTGTATCTTAGTATCACAAGCTGATACTAACATACAGACGATCAAAACCTCGCAAGGCTGATCGGTCCCTCTTCATGCCATGGCAATCGCCATTTTGGTTCCTTAAAATCTTGGAAGCTTTGAAAGCGTCATCCTACCAGTCATGCCTAGATCGCTGTGGAACAACACTTAACTGACTGCTTTCCTCGCCAACGTAAGCGTCTGTGAAACTATGTATGCAATCAACTTATCAATCATGCTTATCTCCACATATATCTTACAGTAACATTGGTACGCTTGTTTCCCCTGTCTCTGTAATAGACTTCTCTATAAAATTACCCGTCGTCACCAGCGAATTCAGACCGGCCCATCAAGGATGGAGAGGCCCTGGAAGAAACTGCTCATTCCATGAACCAAAATGGCGACCATACAGGGAACTTGGCGCTACTTTCCCCATTATCTAGTGGCTTTATTAAGCGCTATAAACTAGTCACCGACGAGATAAGAACGGCGCCTCGTGAAACCCGAGCGTGCACGTGCAGGCTAAGCACGATGGACGTCAACTGGCGTGTGTGCCGCCCGCAAGAGACATCCTGCCGCGTTCTTGCCTCGACAGTGATCATAATCGATTAAATTCGATTCTACGCGAACGATGTCTTCTCTCACCCCAATGCCTGGCGGGAATCATGCCTCCTGCCCTTATTCTTAAAACTCCCGCTCTCCTCCTCACCCTAAAAAAAAAAAAAAAAAAAAAAAAAAAAAAACAGGAGAACGTGGTCAGTATGTGACTCACTAAATATGCGGGTTAATTTATTATTTAGCGACCTTGCTCAGCATTGTGGAAGTGTACCTATTACATCTGGGCCTGCGTCAAAGGGGCACTGAAGTCGATTCTGAGATTGTCCTTTTGCGGTGACAGCTCAGTCTAGACGCTCTAAGCATCCCAACAAGCCCGAAATCACAACCGGGCGCAGCTTATTTCCTCGTTAAAAGCGTGTTCAAAGATGACGACACGCCCTTTTTGGGAACAATTATCTTTCCAGTGAAGTGGTCGACGAAGGGCGCTTGTCGGCGAGTTGGAAGCGAAGGCTTCGCCCACGGTGAAAAAGAGGAGTCTTATCTGAATGTGTACCTATCAGACTCTGTTCGAAACGATATAATACACCCATTCGGAGTCTGCGCGTACTGTCGGGCTTTCATTCGTCCACCCAGTGTAGTTCGTGAGAAAAAAGAGTTCACATTTTTTTCTCTTTTTCCGAGATGAATAGGCGGTTCTGTAATATAGGACTTGGTAAATGCGAGAACTAACAGATTTCAAAGAATATAAGATCAAAAACGACCTTTTCCAGAATTGACTTCAGTGCCCCTTTAAATCCGTGTGTAGCAAGGTATACCCAAATGTTGTAGTGACGACCGAGTGACATTGTTGTACTATTTTGTTTCAGCGTTTTTGGAATTACAACAGAGATAGAAGAGCAAGTTAACTACACGATAAAGCACAAGAGAAATAAGGCCGGTTCTCACATGCAGCGAAGCGCTAATGTAGCGCTACTCACGTGCCGTCAGCTACTTATCGTCTGCCATGGGCAGCAGTTTTGACGGTGCGATACAAAGCTGGTGAACGCTCCCGTCGGCACGTGCTTAGCGCGAGGTCAGCGCTATGCTTGTAGCGCTCCGCTGCATGTGTGAACAGGCCTATAGTCGCACTGAAACATTTTCAAGAATATAAACGCAAACATTAAGGCCGGTTCTCACATGCAGCGAAGCGCTGATGTAGCGCTCCTCACGTGTCGTCAGCTACTTATCGTCTGCCATGAGCAACAGTTTTGACTCTGCGATACAAAGTTGGTGAACGCTCCCGTCAGCACGCGCTTAGCACGAGGTCAGCGCTATCTATGTTGCGCTCCGCTGCATGTGTGAACACGCCTTTAGGCCCAGCTGAATATCGATATTCACTAAATTAGTGATGAAGTACATCTATGTAATGAATAAAAATTAATAATAATAATAATAATAATAATAGCAATAAAAATTATTTAGACTTAGAAGAATGGATAGTTGGGCGAGTTGGTGGGGATTCATCGTAGGAAATAGCGCGAAAAACAGACGAGGACCAAGAAGAAACACACGGGACGAGCGCTGTTTTGACAACATCAATAAAACTATATGTGTTGGGATAGAAGACCTCAAACCGACTTTCCAACCATTTATTTTTTCTCTGTTAGCAACATTCGTTTTACAAGGTGTCCCTCATAAATATTTAGTGTTTTTTCATCGCAAAAGTAAATTACACAATGCCAAACGCTCATTCTCCTCCAAAATATGGCGGACCGAACAAGGTGGCAGAGTTTCAACATTAACCGTTATGTCATTTAAATAACTCATAAGGGATTTTTTGAAAATTCTCCCGTTCGGGTTTTCGTGTTCAGCGCCGTGTATTCGAGAGCTAATTCGAGAGCTCAGTCAACCAACATCCTCTAAAAAAAAAAAAAAAAAAACGTATAATTTTTGCGTAAGATAACGTGTATAGTTCTGAAACTGGGCACCTGGTTCAGCCAGCTAGCGCTACATTTGAGCGAAGAATGACCCTTCGGCACTACGTAATCTGTGTTTGCCAAAAAAAAAAAAAAGTCCGAGGACACCTAAGCACTTCTTATGAGTTGTGAGTGCAAAAGCATGCTGCCTGCGACGTATTGCTTCCGCCTCCCATTGTCGAAGGACCTCGTCCTCTTGCCGCCTGAGACGCTTTGAATCGCGACCCGCTTGCGCCTCCCGACGGCCGAGCGCGCGCTCTCGTGAAGTGGCCGCGCCGTGCTGAGCTCGGCCGTGCAACCTCCCCGGAGTCTGCCCGTGCGAGCTCCAGGCTCCGCGGCCAGCCGCTTTCTCTTACCGGCGGCCCGGCCGCAGCGCCGCTGTAGAGAGAGCTTCTCTGGTGGCGTTCCTTGGAACTACGCCGCTTGAGAGCCAATGGGAGCGTCGTTCCTCGAGACTATGACGCGGGCCAGCCATTGGGAGTCTATCCATCAGATTTCTGCTACAAACGACAGGCTTCGCTCCATTTGGACAGGGAAAGGTGCCGTTTGGCGCAGCTTTAAAAGCTGATGACGTCGGTTCGCTTCATGGGACAGTTAACGCTTTCGCAATAAAAGCTTGTCAGTGTTGTTTTTTTTTTTAGGGGGGGGGGGGGACACCTTTTTTGCTAATCTAGTAGGAATATGCAGTAAAGGCTACGTATGCACGTAGTTTTAAAGCTTTGGCAATGCGTGTTTTTTCTTTTTTTTGCCGTTCAAGTGTTTTGCTGTCGCACGTACCTGCACCAAAACCGAAAGTCTCGCGCCGTCATTTTCTTACCTCGCCCACACCATGTGCACTTTGCACCGAGATTTTTTGTTTTGTTTTGTTCTGTCGTACACTTTCCTGCCGGCTTCCCTTCATGATGAGCATTGCGTCCGTCGCAACGTCACCAGGTACTAGCGTTGTGCAGTGTCTCACGAGCGAAACGCTACAACGAACGCGTTTGCAGCTTCTGTGCGGCGCGGCTCTCGTTTTCAGCCTGCTTGCCGCTAGGGGCGGGCAGAGCCGTATGTACAGAGTGTTTGGTCATTCATTGGGAAGTATAGGTGTTAAATGAGGAGACGCCATTGGCTGAAAGCGTGCTGGGCGTGTTCCAGGGCGTCTTCAGAAGTTTGAATGCGGCCAACCAATAGCCGGAAATAATACCCTGGCGGTGGTCGCCAAAAACAAACTTAATAAGTGCGTCGGAGTAACTATCGGTTACTGAAAATGTGGTGCACGTGATGTTTCCAATCACGGTCGTCCAAAATCACGGTGGAAGAGTGCGACTAGCGGAATGATCGACATAATCCGTACGCCAGGCGTCCAGGAATCTGCCGTTCGAGCGGTCACACTCTGAGCAAAACAGAGTTTAGTGGCACATTCGTTTCTTACATCTTTCTGCATGACCAGGACCAAAACATCACGAGCACCCTATTTTCAACCATGAACGGTTACTACATTTAACTCTTACGCGCTTATTAAAACGATTGAAACTGTTTCTCGCTACCATTGCTAGGGGATTCTTTTCGGCTTCTGGTTGGCCAGGAGAGCATGTCAAGCCCTCTTTCCGCGTCTGGTGCACGCCCTGGCTCTGCCCGCGCCTCCCATTGACCGAACTCTCTGTATATATACACAGCTCTGGGGGCGGGTCGGAGATCATCTAAAAGCATGACGTCATGGGCAAGCCTTTTCTTCTAAATAGTATTAATAGCGCGAAAGAATAAAAAAAGTGACGAAAAATTTACGCATATTAGATCTATTTGATTTAAACCAGGTTTATCTGATTTAAATACGATTAATTTGATTTAAATCACTCTAGCTCGAATATAACAATTTTTATCCACTATATATGTATTTTTCAAAATGGCATTGATAAATTCGTCCGATCACCGATAACAATGCGGAAAAAAGATTACTGTAAATGTAAAGTGCAGTTTAATTAACAACTTTCTATTGCTATTCTTCCAGCCATACACAAAAAAAAAACTATTGTTTTAAGTAAATTAAAAAGACACTTCTTTATTTTTTTAGTGATGATTTCATTGCAATGGCATAATTTTTTTTATATTTTGCTTTTTCGTTTTCCTTGTGATTTTTTTTTTTTTTTTTTGCAACAGGACGGCGTTGCTTAGCTGGCGGATGGAATGGAAGGCAGAAACCGGGCTCAACGCTTAGATTTGCCTTAGAAGAGCACTTTTTACTGCGGAGCTGTTAGGGGCTAGTTTCTCCAGTATCGTGTCCGTCAGCAAACAAATGATGACACCAAACTCCGGACAGCTGCCGCCATTTATGAACGACGACGGCCACCAGACAACCGGCAAACCGGTTGACTGGTTGCCGCCGTCGCTTATAAATGGTGGCAACCTTTCCAGCCTTTCCACCCTTGGCTTGCCGACTTGCGGCCGGCCATTACTTCATTCCCACCATAGTACAGCTTCGCTGGTCTTCCTTCTTCCCCAGAGTGGAAAGCCTGAAACTTTTCTTTGTACGTGTTAACCCTCGTATAAATCTTTCTTGCTCAATGATTTAGATCATAATTTAATTCTTAGAAAAAAGTAAAAGTACAGGCAAGCTCGTGAATTGCAGACATAACAAAACCTGAGACACTGGAAGAAGGAAAAAAAAAAAAAAGACACAAAAGAGAGGACGAAACACACAACGTCTCGACGGTGTGTGTGCCGTCCTCTTTTTTGTGTCCTTCTTCTCCTTTTCTTCCGGTGTGTCAGGTTTCGTTATGTGTGCAATTTAAGTCTTATTGATTTTTATCCTCCAACCTGGCTAGCACACCGCAGAATGCTTCCGCGCTGCAGGACCCGGGGATATTTAGTTAAATCCCCACCCCTGCCAGTTTCGATCTCTATGAGCATCACATTAAAACGGCAACTTGGGCCAGTTGGTTCATGATCACGTAGATAAGTTGAAAACAAACAATTAAAACATGGGAACAAACTAGACAGACAAGAGCGTGAGACAAGAGCACTGTACGGACAAAAGCACTGTGTGGTCTTGTGCCATTTCCGCGTGGTGCACTCTGAAGTAGACCCCAGGCTGGCAGTGGTACTGCAGTGGCTAAATTTCTCATCTACAGCGAAGACACCAGATGCCCATTGTGATTGGCTAACGTCCCGCTTTCTAAACAAACACACAACACAAACATTACGGGTGAAAGCTTATTTTTTATGGAAGCGAAAGTTGAGAAATAAACTCATACTCATTGGTGTCGCCAGACAACAGCGAGAGCACGATGCCAGAGGTGTCCCTTGTCACTCCATCTGGAAAGATAAAACGGTGATGATCTAGTAATTTCAGACTAGCAATGCCAGAAATGCGGGAGAGGAGTGGCAACCATCAAAACGTAGGAAATTAGGATGATGACTAATTAATTTTTTTTTTTAAATTAGCAGTGATGGAAGCAGGATTCGACCTTTTGTAGCAGGTTGTGTAGCAGGCAAAACATTTGTTTGGGGCAGTCACTGATCATTTTCGAGAATATGCCAACATCTGTTAGCACGTCACTTGAAAATGAAATGTGATTGCATAGGTCAATGAGTTCATCTTTGATAATGACTGAGGTTTCCTCTTTGATACTGGAGCATATTAGAGCTCAGCTCTTAGGCGCCCGTTTCTCACTGGAGCGGTGTTGCCGTCGCCGTCGGCGTAACCATGCGCTGAATTATGGGACGTTTCCCATCATGGCGTCACACGTGACGTCACACGGTGCCTAAATTTGGCGGGAAATATTTCCACTCAATTTGGTGGAAACTTTTCCCACTAAACTTAGCGGGATATTTCTCCTGCCAAATATAGCGAGAAATTTTTCCGCTAAATTTAGCGGGAAAAGCTTTTGCTAAATTTAGCGGGGAATTACACCGCCAGTTTTTCCGTTAAATTCAACGGGAACATTTTTTCATCAATTTTATCGGGGAAATTTCACCGCCAAATTTAACGGGAAAATTTTTCCGCCAAATTTAACGGGAAAATTTTTCCGCCAAATTTAGCGGGAAATTTTCTTCATAAATTTAGTGGAGAAATTTTCCCGCCAAATTTAGCAGGGGAATTAAGCAGGAAATTGCCCCACAATTTCACGGCAAACTCCTCTCCGTACCCTTTTCTCCTCCTCCTTAAGAGCTGCACTCTAATTCTGCATTACAGAGAATCGTAAATGTGATTCATTTTTTTTTATTTATTACCTTTTGCAATAAGAATTGACAGGGCGCCCAAGGAACACCAAGCGTTCTTTTTAAGAATAAGGCTCTAGTCAGGGAAGGTATAGTTTACAATAGCGACTGAAAATTCACGAAAGATGAATAATAGTGCAACACATCAGCTGGGATAAACCTTATCTCCCCTCGCATCTTCAAAGTTGGTAGTTTATTTAGACAGTATATATAAGTTGTGTAAAATGCCTACAAAATCAAGCTCGTCGATCAACAGAAATGCATCTCCCAAGTCTTACGAATTTAGGCAGTGACTATTTCGACGTCCACGATTGAAATACCTAAAAAAATTATTTAGACGTCTGTGACGTCACTTCCGTAAAATGTCAAAATAGTGGCTTTATTATTTGGACGTCCCCCGTCAATGAGCCGTCGCTGGTTGCATTGACGAGTTTCGTGGTTTCGTCCTGTCTAATTTTTGATGGTGTTGTAGGTGTTGTGTTAACATGTTGACGGGGTCATGTGTTGCGTGCCTAAGAGTGGCGTGCCGAATAAGTTTCGGACCTAATTGGCAGTGAAAATGTCTTCTTTAGCGCGTGTGGGGGACTGGCTCGATAGGTGATTCTTTCGGACGTGACATGCCTCGGAGGCGATGTTCTAAGCTCTCGCACGTCATTTCAGCACGCACCTTACTCAAAACTTTGAATCTACAGCAAAGGCAAGCTGGATATCCTTCTGCCTCGCCTGCACGTAACAAATCTAAAAGCGTAAACTACGCAACACTTGGAAATTTGACACAATTTTTATACATTCGTATCGTGCGGGAGCGTCTTCGTAAGTTTGCAGATTTTGTTTTGTCTGGCTCCCGCCCTGTTTTTAACCGGGGTTTGTGAGTTCATTGTTTAGTTCAGATCTTCGCTTTGGCTCGTGTATAACGAGCGGGTTTAACTACGAAACGATCGGGATGTCAAATAAAAGGTTGTGAATGCAAACATTGCCTCCTTGATGTTTCTTGACCGGTGCTAACGAACAAACGTTCTGGCGCTGTGGTACAAGGTACACGCATTTTCCGATCAACTGTAAATTTTGTGACCAGTCATTATAAGCTCCCTTGTCTATATAAATCACGTGAAATAAATCACGAAAAACAGCGGTGCCTCCTTCTGTGGTGCTGGGGCAACCAAGCAAACGTTACGAGCGGCTTAAATAATGTACTTCGAGAATTTTTTTTTATTTTTTTGGCATCCCACATTATTTAAAAGTTATAAAAACTGCAGTCGACTGCACATATGTTTTTGTAAAATGCGTGTTGAACCGCGACGCCGCCTGCGAGCAAAATGATATTGGCGTGACCACCACTTTCAATCACTTTCCAGTACGAACTTTGAAGTTCCAAAGTTCTAAGTTTGAGATGTCACAATGAGCAGAAACAATTATTTTGAAGGGGGACAGCAAAAGGATTTCTGAAAAAATTTCACATCTTCAGGAAGTGGCGTTACGGACGTCAAAATAATATTTAGAACCTATTTTGAGCGTGGGCGTCGAAGGAGTCACCGCCATTTAGGCACCTACCAAACTCAAGACTTTTGTATTATGAACTGCCAAAGCAACCACCCCCCAAATATTGTGAAAACTTAGACTTGTGCACGTGACACTGCTCCTCAGCGGCGTTCGACCCAGGGTGAAGTCAAAGTTCGCTGTTCTTTCGATCGACGGCTGCACAGGAACAACCTTGACTACCGTTTATTCAAATATAAACCCACATTTGTTTTCTCTCTTGGCGCAGATTTTTAAAATTAAAGATCAACCTACCAAAAAAAAAATTAGACCTGGAATAGTACTGAGCATAATTAATAAACCTATCGAGCTAACCCAGGCGCTCAAGCGGCCTCGGTAGCTCCGAGCAAAAGAAAGGCGGCCTGGGGTTAGTAAACGCTGAACTTAAGTTAAAAGTCCACCGTTTTATGTTTTTCAGAAGTCAGAGGAACGACATTGTTTTATCCTGCTTCAGAGTACTCGGAGGTAATTTCATAGGACAGTGGCTAGAAGGTGAGGCTGGGTCTTGCCGCTCGCGGATCTTAAAATTCTACAAAGAAATTGAAGCAGCGATTAAGTTTTTTAAGGACCGCTTCTCTGATGAGTACCTGGACAAGGTGAAACAAAAGACCCTGTACTAGGACACGCTCGACATGCTAATTCCTGTCCCACTGTATCGGATGTGGGAAGGAACAGCAGTGGAATCGGATGTTTTCAAACGGCTTTGACGCTATCCCGTAAGAACAGCTACAAAAAAAAATTTTCTTGCGTCTACATCTGAGAGTTCTCCAGGTCAAAACATGGTTGGTGAAAAAGGTTTTTTTCGTACCGTGGTCCACGAATTGCGCACTTTGTCCTTTTCCAGAGACGCTTGAACATGTTATCCTAATTTGCACAAATGCTGAACTTTTTTGGGCACAGCTGCGGGCGGCACTAGAAGCTGATCTGTATTTGTCGTGGCGAAGTGCAATGTTTCTTGAGTGTGGGACGGGAAGAGATAGTCGAGCCTTTGAGGTTCTGACCATCCTTGGTCTGCACGCGTTGTGGAGGTCAAGAACGGAACACCTTCATGTTGTCGAAGGAAGGAAACCTGCGTGGAGGCATTTTTTGGATTTGTTTTGTGTATGCCAGCTCGCTGATTTCGACGACAGAGCAGGAGGGGCTTGAGCGTTGGGAAACACTGAAGGCTCGACTCGGAGTGCGCGGGTTCTCTGCCATCACCAAGTAGAGGCACGCCATGGATTTGCCTTGCGACGGTCTCCAGGGTTAGTACTGCCTATGCATTTGCGGCCTTTGAACTGCGGATTAGACACGTGAACTGTTGTGTCGCTTTGTGTTACTTTGCACGCTGCACACTGTGTTATGCTGTTTTGTGCTTTTTCTGCACTTTGATTGCATGAGGAAGTGTGAACGAATTTTTTTAAACATGTACATAAAGATCAATATTAAATAAATAAAAAAAAAAAGCCTCGGTGGCTCCGAGGTGAGAGCGTTGGCCTACGGATCCCCATGTGGCGGGTTCGAATCCCGGCCGAGGTGCCCGCAATCTGACGGAGTCTTATTGCGGAGAAAGCGCCGCGTAACCGAGCTTTCGGTTGCACGTCAAAAGATCCCCAGGTGGTCCAAATTAATCCTCAGTCCTCCGCTGGGGCCTGCCAGATGCCCGTCGTTAGTTTGACACGTAAAACCCCACAATTTGATTTTAACCCATGCGCTCACCCATGTCAGCCGCTGCACCTAGCACTCCGGTGCAAGGTGGTGAAGCTCGACACGCGCGGGTTTCTGAGAGGCGGCTTGGAGGCAAGTGACATACACGATAATTATATGATCTCGCCAGGAGTGCAAGACCCTGGTTCCGTCTTATCGCGGTAGCCGCCATCCTACGATTTGGCAATGTTTCCTCGCAACATTTAGCTCCTCACATCGCCGACATCGTCTGGAAATGTAGACGATGTCGGCGATCAATCCGCCAGCACATCGACCAACCATCGCGGTTGACGAGCAATCTCAACTCTTCGTTCACCTTAATTCAAAGTGCAGCTGCTGCTACGAGCGAGCCCATGGGACCAACCAGCGTCAAAAGCGCGACTTCATGGCATTCGCCCATCTTCCTGTGCGCGGTCTTTCACCGATTCAACGAATCAAGTGCAGCGACTGTCTTGTACCTTGCGACTTCAAGACTTCGACTGTACTCTGACCTAAGAAAAGTCGAACTAGTTGATGCCTAGAGACACTCTGAAATAAATGTTTGTACCTTTTTTTTATTACTTCTCTAAATATCGAAGTCAACCATAATTATATTAATATATTTTTTAGTTTTGCTTATTTTGGCACACGGGTGGCGTAGTTTTTAGCAAAAATGGCACCTTGGTACAAGATGTTGCTTAATTTCGTTCATGGCCGCTCAAAGGGCGCAGCACTTCCATGACTGAATTAGTGAAAATAGACAGATGGTTTCAATTAGAGACTCGCTGAGCATCATCGAAAACCACTAAATCAGAAATATTTAGAAAGACTTTGAGCGCGTGAAAAGCGTAGTAGTGCGCAAAAGTTACCACTCGTGGAGCAGGTACAAGGCTGGGGCTAGATAAGAGACGGAAAAATCGTGCGGGCGCCATACCGCAACCGCTAGCCTTTTACCTGCTGAGAACAAAAAAGGCGGAAATACTCTTGTATGGTAGGCCTCTGTCAACACTCTATGGAGTTGTTGTGCTAAATTGTTTTTATGTCTTTTGTAAACAGTCGCATTTAAACCATCAGGGCCAGGCGTTTTCCTTGATTGTAGTTCATCTATTGCAGCACCTATTTCACTTTTTTTCAATCGGCTGTTCAAGCCAATCGGTCGTTTCTTCTTTTAATCTTGGCGTCAGTTTTAAAAAGGCGTTATCAAACGACGTCAGAATAAGAGTTTTGCCTCGCTGAAATAGCTGACAAAACTCAACAGATGCCTGCACGATTGCTTCTTCGTTGGTACTTATTGAAATATGATACTGTATTTATCAGCCATGGAGACTTCTCAGTCTCCATGGCTGATAAACTATATTTTGTCATCCTAATATCATTAATGAATTTATTAGGACTTTCACATTCGAATGTGAAAAGCCTTCTTAAATCAGCGTGCAGCAGTTTCTCCTCGGCATCGTTTAAACGACAGAGAATTTTATCGTTCTAATGCTGCTAACTTTATTCCTTGCTTCATCATTTCCCATGACCCAAATGAGCTTGTAAGATAGCTACCTGTCATTTTCTCCAGCAAGGTCTCCAATTTCTTAGTAAAAGTTTCATCATCTAGAAACTTAACGTTTAATTTCCATAAATCCAAATTGAAGCGATACTTTTGTGCTTTAGCTTTGTCCAGAGTAAAAGTCACCAGTGCGTGATCACTAAATATGATTGGAAGAACCTTGTAATTGTCTGCACCACTCACAAGCTCGACTGATACATAGGCTCTGTTAAATCTAGCGTTACTAGACAAGCACAAGCGTGCAGTGCGGCGTTTCAAGTTTGATCTGGTAAGTGGCAACATCGTGAAAGTAATGATCGTCAATTTGGTCTTTTAACATCAGTGCACTAGCATCCTTTTAAATATTGTTACTTGACCTGTCATTGGGCTCACAAACGCAGTTAAAATCACATAACAGTTCTATTTTTCGTGAGCAATTAAGAAATTGGCGAATGGTATAAAAAGGTTATTTCCTCCCTTTTACCTGATTTGGACAGCCAACGCAGATCACCCGCCAGCTCATTTAAAGCATCGAAAACTCACACACGTTAAGTCTACGATTATCATTAACAGTTATAGCATAATCATTTGGATTTAAAGCCCTTCTAATAAATGATAGACACCCCTGATTACTAGCTTGACTGACACAAACATCGAAGGTAATTTCAAAAGGCTGCACTAGCTTGTCGGTCTCTTCCTTAGTATCTGTTATGTCCAATAAAGTGCATATGTACAAGCTGGGGCGTACCGCCATCTGCCGTTGTGACAGTCACCACAAAACCCTGCGCGTTGCGAAGACAGCGCGAGCAAGGACACGGCCCGAGCATCGCGAGACGAACCCACTACACCGCAATGGCAGATGGGCTACCGAACTAATGTTTCCCCTTCACTTTTACTACTAGAAGTGCTAATTAAACAACTTAACATTATCTGCTTTTGTTTCCGGGACTGCGAAGATGTCAAGCTCGTTATCCTCCAGAACTCTCTGTATCTGATGCTGTTTGCGACTCGTGGACATGCCACGAACGTTCAGAGTCCCGAATTTAAGTGAACCTACGACCTGTGCCATCTCTTTGCAGCACCACACAACTGACACAAACAAGGCCGTCCTCACAGATTACGAAGTCCTTAGCTTACGCCCCCCCCCCCCTCCCCCCCCCCCCCCCCCCCCCCCCCTTCTCTGGAGGTACTAGAGGGGCCTCCAACTTCGGCTTGCCATAAGGGGACCACCCGGGTACCGGCACTTGCTCTGTCGCACATGACCTTTTATCGGCCTGGGCGCCAGCGTTGGCCATAGAGGTGCCCGCCCTTTCCTCGATGTCCATGCGGGCCGATGATCCCTCGGACCCAAGGGGTTCATTGCTCGCGCACTCATCTCCACCAGGGTCGCCGACAGTTAAGTTCATAACTTCAGGCAGTCCCTGGTGAACGTAACCGGAGGTTGCTTGTTTAACACGTTCGGTCGGTTGTGGTGTCTTTCCGAGGTCCTTCACCCCAGTGGCCTCCGCGTCAATGGCGTCCGCCTTCGTCCAGGATAAGACTCGGCTCTTTCCTCTTCAGTTAAGGGCCCAGCAATGGCCGCGTACGTCACTACACACTGTTCAGCTTCATGACCAAAACGACGGCATTGGTTGCAGCGGGTACCCGGCGATCCCGACAAATATGGCCAGTACGATATGGCACCTGAGGCAGAGTGGCACGTGGCCTGGCGCCACCCCCAGCGTCATTCATTCAGCCATTCGCACCTGGTGTGGTAAGTATTCCACAGTGAAGCCTGCCTTCAGAGTGACGAGAACGGTCCGCGTGTTTGACTCGATGAACTCACATCCTTGGACGCGCCACTTTTCAGTACTGCGCCAAATTGATGCGCACCTCGTCGTCCGGCACATGATATTTTATCACCACGGCCCTACTGGGCCGTTATGGCCGCTCCAACGGAGCTCGACATTCAGCGTCCGCACGCTTCGGTGTCTGGAAGTGGAATCAGGTCACGCAGACACGCTTGCAGGGCTTGGGAACGAGCGAGGATATATTTGTTTAACTATCGCGTTCCACTCTTGAAGGTGAAGATCAGTTGTTAGGAACAGTCACACTTCCGAGTGTGCACAACGTTAAAGCCAGACGCCACAAAAAAAGGGAGGTGAGTATAAGTCAAAACAACCCATCGTACACATATATGACATAATCTCATACACAAACTTTGCTTCACAACATTCGTCACGAATCGAGATACACTTTTATGTATTCACACCAGTTCTCTTGTTTCCGTCAACATAGATCCTAGATCGAGCCAACTACTTTAAAATGGGCACTTAGTTACAGCTACATTTCGAGAAAAAGTTTCGAAGTTATCGTAACAGATACCGCAAGGAAAAAACAACTCGCTACAGCTACAATTATTACACTGACGGTGTTTTTTTAGTGACTTTTACATAACATAATAAATACCCCCCCCCCCCCCCCCCCCACCCCCGTTTATTTTATGACGCGCAAGTTGGCGCAAGTCGCGAACGTAGCACTCGAAATGTCGTCACAGATAATTTATAAAGTGCGAGAAATGGCTATATTGCACAGGTTCAATTATAAATGTTTATCCTCAAGAAACTGTTTCGATGAATGTAACGTCGTTACATTCATCGAAAGCAACGCCGCGCTGGAGAAGCTGCAGTTCCAAGATGTCTTGCCTCATTCACCTTACAGCACGGACCTCGCGCCACCCAACGTTTGGCTGTTTTCCTAGATAAAAGAACTTCTGAACCTCTGAAGGGTACACGGTTTGCGAGCGATGACCAGGTTACCGATGCAGTGCACCGCTGGTGTCGTCAACAGCCTCCCTCAATCATCTACGACGGCATGCGGAGAGTAGTCCAAAGTTATGTGTTCCTGGGCAAAAAGGAGATTCCAAATTTTTGTTTGAATGTAACATATCTTCCAATTCCATCCTTGAATAAAAAAGTTACAGCCTAAGAGACAAAACGTATTGATCATCCCTCGCATTTTCATACACGACACCAGTTCACTTCTTTTCCTGGTCTCGGCACTAGCGTGATCGAACATCACCAGCTCGCTTCTGGCATCCCATGTCAAGTACTGTACATACCCTCACAACACCACCCAGGCTAGCAAGTTCAGAGTACTCCGAGCTGACGTCATCTCACGACTCCAAACAGGCCTCTGCTCCAACGGCCTGTCTAAACAAGTTTCGCTATGTCAGCCATTAGGAGACTTTCTTCTTTTTTTTAATATTTTTTTTTAGTATTTGCGCAAAAACTCAATACGGCCAATTTCTTTTTATTTTTTTTACTCCAATTTCGATGCTACAGCGCTTACGTCGTTGCTTTCTGCCGGTGTGACGCAGCAAAAATACAAAAAAGAATTTAAGATACATGTATTCAGATTTTCTCACTCGTGGAAAGCATGGGTGACTTCTGTGGCGATTATTCTTGGCGCAAGAAAACGCGCCGACAGAATACTTGGTAGTTCGCTGGTTCTACCCTGACCCGGCAGCTTTGACATAACCAACGTAACCAGCGGGAAGGTTAAAGGGTTGGCATAGCACATGTCTGTTGAAAAGAAACACTGCGGAGTATTAACCTTTGGGCGAAACCGATGATAGTAATACACATCAAACTGAATGCACTCACCGAGGAATGGGGTTGCATCGGCGTAGTGCACTTGAAGCACAAGGTAGTTAATGCCGCTGTTGCCTCCGATTTTAAATCCGACACCTGGAAGTTTCGACAACAGTGTTAAAGATACATTTTGTTTTTTTCCCACATTGCGATAGACCAGCCCATAAAACGCAAATCGGACAAAGGGGGAGACGGGTACACTGGGAAGAGGGATAGCTTTCATGATCAAGACTTATTTGCCACTCGATAAATGGTTTCAAACCAAACAGCACAAATTCTGTATTCACTCTTACCTAAAAAAAAAGATGGCAATAGAAAACAGTGTTGAACTGCTTTTCAGGGGTAAAAATATCTCAAGCATATATGGTTGAGATATTATGATAAGTTCGAAGCAGGGTATTGAATTATTTCGAAAACATCTATTTACATTTTTATTTAATACCTTCGTGGCATTAGGTAGCCCTAGTCTTGGGGATGTTTTACCATATTTAATTTCCACCTGCTTCGCCTCACTTGCGCTGTTCTTACGGTGTTTATTAATACTACAGAAAGGGCGAAATAGATGTAACCCACTTTAAATAAATCTCAAAAATCAATTTCGCATGCTCCGCTGCTGTAAGTTACCACAAACATATAGCTAGGTGGTTAATTTGTTTTGTGCAAATATAAAAAAAAAACATAATTTTCGTGCTATATGCAGCTAGGTCTTTTCCGTAAATATGTGAGAAAAAAATGACGTTTTTGTCGGCGTTTAGGACATCTAATACAACAAAATCAAAAACGAGAGAAAGGGAAAGAATACTATACTGATTTTGTTGTTGTTCCCTATTTTTGTCTATTATAAGATGCCCAATAGCCCACTATAACGCTTCTTTGTCAATGTTTAGTCCAGACAAAAAAAAAAAAAAAAAAGACAAGGCAGCCATTGCTGCTACGACCATACGACGACTCCACCGCAAAGCGGCACCGCCGCAGCCGCCGGCAGCCGCCAGCAGCCGTTCGGTGCAGTCCTCCAATCAGAGACCGGCAACGTGACGTCATTCCAACCTCTGCTCTAGGAGCAGACGTACTTGCTCGCCGTATAAACCTTTCCATCGCTTACCATTCCGGCGAAAAATGTCGCGTCACTGAGCTGTGTACGCATGCGCGGTGTCTGGTGTTCATCAGAAGACAGCCACTGCATGAGCACGCTCAGAAAGACTCCCACAGCCCGGTGGACCAAGATGGCGGCGCGCAAAGGGCGATCATTGCAAAGTTTGTATTATCATAAACAGCTCTACTCTATACTTCGTCTCATCCTACGATGGACTAAAGGCCAAAGCCACGGGCCGCCAGGTCCAATCATGTTCCACGCTAAACTATGACACGCTTAGCATCGATTAGGAGTGGGGGAATAATGCTCCGAATTCAAAAACCCTGCGTCATTTTTATAGCTTCGACACTGCACGGAGCCAGTACGTCGTGGCTTTCTTTGCAATGTAAAAATGTTGAGTCACTCATGGCTCGATCCGAACCACTGTCCGCCCATTCCCATCAGTGATCCGAGACGCGGGCACCGATACGTTCATCGAAGCGAAATACCACGCAATGTCTAAGTGGCTCGTGATTGGATCTGGCGGTTCGTAGCTTCTGGCTTTAGTCCATCGTAGGGTGAGACGAGGTATATACAGCTTCAGCTCTACTGGGCGAGTGCCGTATTGCCCGAAAACGAACCGTTTTTCGCGGGTGGCTTTTGGCGCTGGGAGAGGGCGAGTGCAGTAGGGATACCTGTTGAAACCATAAAGTGCAAGGGGGGCAATATTACCAAGCACCCATATAGTGAGAAGAAAAGAAGGTTCGCACGCCGAGATCGAGGGAGAAAGAGGAAGAAAGGGCTCGGCTGGAACGTGCACGAAATTACGGAACGATGGCGTCGCCACCTTCTGAGCGCTTTAATTTCCTTCGAGTGTTATTTACCTTTACTTTAGCAATTAAATGTTTAACTATCCGTTGTACGGTGTGGGCTCCCCTCTGCGATTTCAACAATATCCTCGCCCTTGAGTTCGACCAATTGCGATTGCTCTGGGGGCCAATTCCGATTCCATCGCCCGTTCCCTCGGCGCACTAACCGTGCGAAAATCGGGCGGCCGGAGAGAGCGGCAGCTGTCCGACGGCGTAAACGCGCCCGTGAGAGAGAACATCGTCGTTGTGTAGGCGCCGAGGGTCTCATCTTAAGCGTTCGGATAGAACGCATTCAACGTCTAGATCATGCCGTGCGTGAACGTGAAGCGGCACGTGTAGAAGAAGAACGTTACGGTATGAAGAATGGACACGCTGTTCCAACCGAGAAATTCGTGCAGCGCATCCGCGAGGTCGTGGTTGGTTGCCAGGGGCCCTAAACTCGTCATACACGAAGTCGAGGCCGAAGTTAACGGAGCGCACCGTTTGGACAATCACGACGATGACTTGGCGTTTTTGTCACCGACGTCCAATCCACGCGTTCCGCGAAATTTCGGCACCAACCTTGTGTTTGACGAGTTTAGGGCCCAAGGCGTACTGTGCGTGATCGGTTGTGTCATACGCGAGTCACCGCGCAACGCAACGTCACCAAAACATTCCAGTCAATCAAGACGCAATATCATCGAAATGTTGCACCAGCTGACGCTGTCCGTTCGGATCCCGTCGCGTGATCGTCCGTGTAATTCGTTTCGGTATTTCGTCCCATTCCGAGCTTCAACTTTGAAATCAACGACACTCTCACTTACCTTCGGGTAGCTTCAGTGCTGGTGCATCTCTCGCCCAAGCATAGACGATACGTTCCTCCTTTTCGCATGTCGAACGCTTTGGAAAAGTAGCACCAAAGGACTCCGTCTCCCCACAGTCCCAGACGACCCTCGGGCTATCCCACTCACGGTAGCCCGGTGTCGCGCACCCGTAGATGAGAACGTGGTGCGCGACGTGCATCGTTGCGTTGGGCTCGAATGACACTGCAAGTTTCAACGTGAATGAAAGCACACCAGCGGCTAGCTAATAAAGTGAGAAGATATAAATGAGACAAATCACTATGATCCGGTATCGGAGATAGATTGCTCCAGTCAATCGAATTACGGTCGCCGGCGCTTCGGCGGCCGATAGATGGCGTAAGTAGTGGCGGCGCGCGCGTGTCCCGAAATCTTGGGGTTGACTGACAAGTTGAGTACGGCAGGGCGTCTCTTTTGAACGCCCGAACTCCAGTACGCGCTTGCTAACTTCCAAAGGGCTTTGTCTACGCGTGCATACCCGAGGCTCTACGAGCCGCCGAAGCATCATCGAAGGTTGGATGCCCGCGCTGGAGGCGGGGCAATTGGAGCTCCTCCCTGCCACTCTCATCCTGCCAGTGACAATAGGTAATGTCACCGATCCCTGGGAATGTAGCGCCGCCAGTTACCGGCGCCTCATCAGGTGGCGATGCGAAGATGTACGCTTGTTTCGCCGTTGTGTGCATATCAAAAACTTTTGATATTCGAGAAATGTCTTCATAAAGCAATCTGTCACCAGATAATTTAAATCGGCTCACCATGAATGGAGAGGCCCAAGAAGAGACCGCCCATTCTACGAACCAAACCGGAGACCGTATACGGTGACCTTGGTGCTACCTTCCCAGGACCTGACTTTAACAGTGGAGAGATTGTCACTGACAGGAGCTCTTTCACATGATCGTTTTTTCATGCCGTCAAAGTTTAGCAGAATGCAATACGCAATATGCAGAAACAAAGTCCAGTAGGAAAATAAATCAGTACGATATTACCTAACAAAGGTTGTATTAATTATAATGTATGAGCAAAAAAAAAATTCTAGATGTCTTGAAAGCAAAAAAAGGAGAAAACAAGCGAGCGTCCTTATTGCAGTGATGTGATTGCTGCGCCAATTAGGCCAAACTGCGCCATTGGGATAACTCTGCTACATCCTGCTACATTTCGCCAAAATATGGGTAATCTGCGCCAAGCCTGCGCCAAAGAACCAATTTTGGTCTCTTTTGAAAGCCGAAACTAAACTGAGTACCGTAATTGAGCACACATGAGCTAGGTGGTGCAAGCAGCCGTCCGATACAAGGTACCCTGCATCAATTGTTCATCCGGTCTTGCATGGCTTTTCCCCCCGTCTCTCCTCTCGCGTCTTTAAAAAAATAACAACAAAAAAACATTTCAATGATAGACGTGGGTGTGTGCGGACGCTCCGACGCTAGCGTGTTGGGTACCAGCCGTGCAGTTTGGTCCGATATATTTGTATCACTTAACTGAAGCATTGCAAATGTGTCATGTCATTGGCATTTCAGTTACATGTTGAAAGACTCCCAGGTTGTCTATCTTGACAATAATTAGTTGATTGCGGCGAGCAATGTGTCCTTCGTTTGAAATGAAATTAATATCTTTTTTTTTTCTAAGAATATCTGCTCCAGGGGCAACTTTCGCTGCTCCGAAACACTGTTTTAGCTGCTCCAAAAGCCAGTTTTGCTGCTCCAAAACTCTGTTCTGGCTGCTCCAGAAGGTGCTCCAAAACGGCTTAGGCCAATCACATCACTGTTATTGAAAAAAAATTACGACATATGACTGTTATATGATCTTACATGAGAACATATAAGATAATATCGGGACTTATATTCGTCATATATAATTTACCTAAGTTCTGATTTGTTTATTATACAAACCACATATGAAATTTCTCTTTTCAATAGGGATGTCCCATTGAAACATTGTAGCGAGTAAATTGAGGCCAAACAAGAAAGTCTATAAGTTGCACTCTAAAAAGAGTTTGTGCGTCTACTTTCACGCACAACACTCGGAGTGCCAATCAGAGCAACTTACGGAGGCAGCTAAGCGAATGACGATGCAGAAACCTATGTTTAGACCAGAAAACGCAGACTGAGTTGTGACATTAAGCAATGCAAGCGTGACGTTTTGCATTGCTTAATGTCACAACTCAGACTGCGTTTTTTGGTCTAAACACATGTTTCGGCATCCTCATTCGCTGAGCTGCCTCCGTAAGTTGCGCTGATTGGCTCTCCGAGTGTTGTGAGTGAAAGTAGACGCTCATACTTTTTAAAGTGTGTCTTTTAAGTTATCTTTTTCATGAATATGCAAATATTGTTCCAATTTGGGAGACAATGAACTTCTATCCCAATTTGTCTATTGTTCTCCAGCACATATTCTCTAAACATTCTGCGCTGGGTGTTTGCAACGTTTAAAGACCAGAATGTTAATATCATTGTGACAGCATACCTAAGCGAGAATTCGTAGTACGCATTAAGCATATTTCGGTGCACAATCATTACAACATGATTTAACCAGCCTATTGATAACGATCAAGTAAAGATTGAAAAAAGTAAGGGATTATGGGATAAACTTGAACTTTTCAATCGCGCATTTGAGACATCGTGATCATGAACACATTTGAGACATCGTGAACATCGTGAACATGAACACAGATCAGGTTGGCACAAATGACTTGAAACACTAAAGAATAAAACACATAGGGACGCACACACACAGACAGGACAGTTTTCTCAATTAGCAACCGACATTTATGATGCCTCCTCAATAGGTCAGCGCTTCTCTAACCCATCCTCGGATAAAAGAGGAAGAAACCCGCAAAAAAGAGAAGATAACCCCATTGAAAAAAAAAAAAAGAAAGAACCAAGGTACTCAAATTAAGATTAAAAGAAAAAGAAAAAGAAAGAAAAAAATGAGATTCTTATCTCTTCTAGAAAAAGAATAATAATAAAACACCGCCAAAAAGAAAAAGAAAAGCTCAGAACCAGCTTGTGCTCACCGCTCGAACTCCTCTTTCAAAAACTCAACCTCTGCCTTGGTTAACCTAAGGCAGGGTGAGGCATAGTTCAAATCATCCCCGGCAATTCTAAAGGACTCAAGAGGAGAGGTATATTCACATGATGCATCTTGTTGGCGAATCTTGTGTCGCGAAACTAGGTTTCGGGAAACAGATTCCCCGTCTGAACGCGACCGAGAAGGTGGAGCGCCTCCGAAAAAAGTCGCGCGTGTTTCTCGCTTCTGGAGCAATTTTTCGCTGAAACCTCACCGTCGCCAAGTCAATCACCCGAAGGAGAAACGCGGACGCTGCCAATGGCCGCTCGACTTCGCTATGACGTCTGACCTTCGAGGAGGAGCGAGCTTTTGGAGGAGTCTGATTTTCGGCCGATTCCGTATTCGAGCCGAAGCCGAAAGAAAACAAACAAACGAGCGACAAGCGGAGAAGCGGTGCGTACGGGCGAAAAGTTTTGGTTCTACTCGGTTGCAGGTGTGTGAACGGTGCCTACAGTACGGATTGGGGGCGCGGTGCAGACTCGTCAACAGTCGCGGCGGGTGCAAGCACTATATATAGACATGATGACTGGGGATAACGTTCTTTATTAGAGGTGCAAAAATGCCCGAAATTCTTCGAGATCATCTCGCGGTTTTTCCCGGGTTTGGCAGGACTAGTAAACACAGTGAGCCGAATCTGACGAAATTCTTTGAGTGGCATTAATAAAACAGGCTGTCTCTTTACACTGTGCGTACTTCATATCATTTTGATGCGTATTCCCGGTGCAGACGACAAGGTTTGGCGCAATTCTTGTGAGTCAATACGTCACAAGTTTTGCGCGTCAAACTCCACGTGTGAACAGGCCGATTTCGCGAAATCTTGGTTTCGCTAAACTGTGGCGCGTTGAAAAGATGCATCGTGTGAATAAGCCTTAAGTTCTCGCCCTAGTCTGTCTTCCCGTCAGTCATCGGGGCAAAATTTTCCCAGTGGCATGATAAATGGCACAGTCTATCGTTCCACCAAGCCTGACGGGAGTGTGTTCCTTCTACCCTGAGTAAATCTGCCTACTCTGCCCAATTGCATAACGAGCAGCGCGCGATCGATTCCATCGACAGTAATGACTTTGGAGCATCGAGATTTTCGCACACGAACGCCTAAGTGGCACGAGGCACCTCATCGCGACGATTGGCTTGGCGTGAATTGTGGATTTGGTGTTGACCGCTGACAAAGCTACAATACCCTTTTGACCTACAGTGCCACGTGAATCGGGGGACCACCATCGGCTCCTATCAAGCAGAAAAATTAATGAAGCAGATCAATTAAACCAACCATGATAGCCAAAGACATGGTGCAAGCGATTTGGGGTCCCGTGGGACTTGCCCGAAGGACTTACGGGGGAAAGGAGGCACCAAAGGACAAACAAAAAAAATATGTGATGGTCCGGAAGGAACTGAGTCTCTTCAAGGTTAGCCTCGTCATAGCATAGGTGTATGAGTTCAATCTGTTCAATCATATGACTGTATCCTCATGAGATGTCATTATATTAGTATTTTTCTGTTGTCGTTGAAGAAACAGTGCACCATTGGAACACCAGAACAAGGCGCCTGTTCAGCAAGTCATCACTAACATGTCGACAGTCCTGTATCAAAAGATCCAGGACTCCCGAAAAGCTCTGAAGCGCCTGGGTGTTGAGGATGTTTAATCTTCATCAGCCGAAGTACTTAATTCTGCCCTAAAAGCTTTCAACTGCAAAATAAAAGTAAGAAAGACTAACAGCTGATTTTGTTTTGTGCATCTATATGACAATTTACTGTTTTTAAGTGGTACAACTAGCAAGTGGTTCCACAAGGGCTACAACTTGCAAGCGGTTTATTAAACAGGTACCAAATGCAAGTCGTACCAGTAGCAATGGTACCACTAGCAAGTGGTACCACCTGCTACTGGTACCACTTGCTAGTGGTGCCTGTTCAATAAACCACTTGAAAGTGGTATCACTTGCAAAACGTTTTACTTGGGACGTGTCACCTCGAAGAAGTGCACACGGAGGCGTGTGTTGACGCACCTACCCGTCTGTCCGAAGCCCCTATCCCCGCAGGTACAAGGAATGCGGTACACCACCTTCTCGTCGCAGGGGACAAATGGGTTGGCATGCTGGATGGAGAACTTTGGGGGCACTGCTGTCACCGACCTTTTGGAAAAGTTGTTTTAGGCGTGTCTTGCTCGAGAAAACAACGGAAGTACTATACCGCGCTGCGATGTTCTTCAAGCGGTGAGAGATGTTATAGACGTAGGGTAAGTAACTACCTGAGAAGTCCTTCTTAAGGGAGAGCGAGAGCTCGTGAAACCTAAAATTAGGCGAATAAGGGTGGTCAAAAGAAGATCTTTAGGGTACCTAGCTTTGAGGAGGCGTTCTTGCTGTGTTGATAAGCTGCTTAAACAAGGTGGACACGGGACTTCGCACGGGAGGAGAGAAAGAGGGACCGGACAATACCATGCTTAACCATTTTAGAGTGCGAACTACAGAAAGGGAGTACTGGTTTTTTAGAACGTTGTTGGAAAGCCCAACATAAACCAGAAGGTAGAGGATTTGTGTTGATGCACCTACTGGTTTGCCCGACGTATACGCCGGACAGACCGGTAGGTACGTCAACACTCGCCTCCGTGAGCACTTCTTCGAGGTGACACGTGCGTCTCTCTTCACCCCGTTGTGGAGCACAATCGCATTTGTTCGAATTGTGAGTTGGACTTCTATGCTCCGCGAGTCATCGGGAGACACAAAGACAGACTAGGGCGAGTAATTATCGAGCCCTTTAAAATTGCCGGGGATGATTTGAACTATGCCTCACCTTCCCTTAGGTTAACTAAGGCAGAAGCTGAGTTTCTGAAAGAGGAGTTGGAGCAGTGAGCACAAGCTGGGGGTTCTGCGCTTTTCTTTTCTTTTCCGGCGGTGTTTTATTCTTCTTTTTCTAGGGGAGATAAGAATTTCCCTTTTCCTTCCTCTTTTCTTTTGCTTTTACTTTTAATTTGAGTATCTTGTTTTTTTTTTCCTTTTTTCAACAAGGTTATCTTCTTTGTTTTTGCGGGTTTCTTCCTCTTTTATCCAAGGGTTGGGTTAAAAAAGTGCTGACTCATTGAGGAGGCATCATAAATGTCGGTTGCTAATTGAAAAAAACTGTCCTGTCTGTGTGTTTTATTCTTTCGTGTTTCGAAATATCGTGCTTCCCTAGAAATGGTAAATTGCGGGTGTTGTTTGAAGAGTTTACCAATATACTTATGCTGATTTGGTGCAAAGTGGAAGGCAGTGCACAAATATGTTTCGTTCTGTAAAAAAAAAGAAAATTAAATCGTAATTTAAGCATCACATAGCGACGCAGCTAGTCAATCACAGTTCAGGCAATAAAGTTTTTATGGTTGCTTTAGCTTTTAACCGTAATATCGTGTGTCTAAGGGATGCTAAAATTTGCTTAATTACTCCTACTGGATCTTGAAAATGAAGTGCTGGTACGAGATTTTGAAACAAACGCGTAAAACTAGGAAAAATAGATTGTATATGCAATATTTTACGATTACCTAATCTTCGCAGCTTGCCATTCAAAAACAACTGCAACAATCGCCAGTTGATCCTAAGACGATAACGTTTTTCTGCTTCCATTTGTTCTTGTAACACGGATGACAGCTATTCAAAAATAGTTGTAAGGCGTTGCAGTTTTACGCCCAATAAGAAATTCTGTCATTCGAAGTACTGATAAAAAATTGAACTGTGGAAAATTTCTTACATAGCAGATTCAGCCTGTATTTAAGTCTAAAGATACATACGCAATTTTCAGACTCGGTGGTTGAGTTACACTTTTACCTAACATAAACGAATGCTAAAGATTTGTAAGCTCATTGAGACAGGTGTAACACAGAAATAAATAAGCTTTGTAGCCAACATCCTAATTCTGCAAAAGCCGTCCTACAGCTTTTGTAGAATGGGTCCTACAACAGAGTTTTACACTTTTGTTGCGTCTTTTGTGCTCGACATTCTATTTATAACATCACTAGCCTTGCGTCTTCAGTGCTAGTTCAGATGTCTGGAATTTCATTCTAATTGCACAAAGTCCCCTTTTCCCATCCCCTTACAGTAAATCGATTGTCAATCAAGTTTCAAAACAATTAAAGCGAGTATGCACCTGACCCTTACGAGTTCAATTCTCAAAATTACAAAAGCGGTGTTCACAACTATTTGAAAGCCGTTAGAGATACAACTGAATCGGTTATAAAAGTCACACAAACATAATTAGTAACCTTTTGAAGCAACCCAATATTGAGGTATACGAAAGTACACACAAAGAGACGAGAAGGAGAATGTCTCAAAATCACAGTTTTTAGAAGTAAAGGAGTGAGCCACCGCTCCCTCGAATTAAATGTAAACATTTTCTCGTCTCGAAATGATACCCCCTCACAGCCCTCGAATTGTAACGTGTACCGTAATCTCCAGGTAGTCGTCAAGTTATGGCTTTTCAATTATGTATATACATTTAACTTCTACTAAGACAATATCAGTACGAACGATAGTCTGTGACAGGTTTAGATTTCGGGGAAAACTCCTCCCATCTCTTTCCACTTCAGCAGGGCGAACGTCGGAGAGGAGGTGACCTCCTTTCCAGCCTTTAATAATAATAATAATAATATTGTTTATTTAATGTACCCCAAAACAACCACGCGGGTCGTCACATTGGCGCACACAAGACAAAATAAAGAAACAGCACCCGCACAGCTTCAAATGCAGAAATTAGAATGACTAGAAATAGGTTGCAAACTTCAAACAAAATGTAATACAGTTTCAACTTTAAAATAGACTTGCCAAGTTCCGGCGAAAAACTGGGAGATCTGTGAAAATGTACAAGCTAGAGGATGCGATTCTATTAAATGAAATTTGCATACGGGACAGTGGTGAAAGTTTGGACGTGAGTTCAACGTAAAAGACAGTAAAAGTTCTGGTAACGCGACAAGGAACATTAAAATCGACAAAATTCAGAAGTAGGTTAGCATCAGTCCAACCATTTACCACCCTGTGCAAAAAAAAAAAAAATCAGATCATGCTTTAAACTCATATTTGACAAAGACCTAAGTAAAAACACTATTAAGAATAAATTCAGAATCATAATAAAAGCGACGCTGAAAGTGTCTATCATATAAAACGCGTATCAGTCTTTTTTGCACTGGTTCAATGCTTAAAAACTGTGTACGTGTTAGAGAATCCCAATCAACAGATACTAATTCAGGCCGTGAACGAACTAAAGCACAATATAAACGAATCATTCAAGCAGGTCGTCTGAACGTTTGAGTTATACGAGATATAATACCAAGAGTTTTCATCGCACGGTCAACAGTAAAACAAACATGAGTATTAAATGACAGGCGCTATCAAGGCACACACCGAGATCTTTCGTCACAGTCACGCATTCGATTGGAGTTCTTCCCAAAGAGTAAGTAAAATTCATAACAGTCTGTCGTCTGCTCAAAGAAAGAACGTTAGTTTTAATAGGATTTAGGAGCAAATTATTCGCCAAAGACCATTGCAGTATCTTGTTAACTTCGTGCTGAAGAACATTACAATCAAGAGGAGTAGCAACGCGCATAAAAATCTTAATATTACCCGCAAACATTAGGAGCTCAGCTTTTTGACACATGAGGCTATATCATTAACAAATATCAAAAACAGAATAGGCCCAAGAAGAGACCCCTGGGGGACACCTGAAGTTCAGTAAAATAGTTTAGAAGGGACACTAGAAATTCGAACATGATTCGTACGACTTGACAAGTAGCTTTGAAACCAGCGAAGGTGTTCATAACAACAACCGTATAACAATAATTTGTGGACCAATCAATAGCTCATCATCAACTTTATCGAGTGCACAAGTTCGTTTCAACTGACCGTCCCGTAATGAACCCGTGCTGCGAAGTCGTTATCGTTAATTTTTAATGAAAGTAATGAGTTAATCGTTTATGAATAACTTTCTCAAACACATTAGAAAATTAAGCCGTACAACAAAGAAACCGGTCGATAATTACTGACAACCAATGAATTGCCCCCCTCCCCCCCTTTAATATTGGCACGGCAACCGCTTTCTTCCCTAACGATGGGAACAAACCAGAGTGAAGTGACAAGTTGAAAAAGGTGTTTTAAAATCGGGGCAAACAAGTCATCACAAGCTCTGATTATAAAGCTCGGAATACAATCTACTGCAGTAGATAACTTTGGTTTAAGGTTTCTGATACCTTCGTCAATTTCATCCGTATCTACTCTAAAGCCCGATAAAATATCCTGGCAGTTTACTTTCATGTAAATGGGCTTCGCTCTGCTAAAGTGGGAAGAGGTGGGAGGAGCTTCCCCTCAACTCCTAACCTGTCACCAACGATAGTTCAAAGGAGTGTATGGGGCACAGTCAGAGAAGTGACAGATAAGTAGGTGACACCAACACCTGAACTAACATGTCAAAACATCGTAACATATGTAGCACACAATCCACAAAAATAAGCGCAAAAAAAATCACTATTTTCAGGATGACAGTTACCTGCATTGGCTGTACACCAGGCATCGACAGTGGAAACTGAGCGGCTGCCGAAACGAATGAAATATTTCCCACGAAAACAACATCGATAATCATCGCGATAACGCAAAAGTAGGACTTCATTCTGCAAACGGTGAACAGCAACTGCACCATCGATGTATGGCCACGTGTCACGGAGAGCTGCGAGCTTGGCAGGATATGTCTCAACAGCCTATTTTTTTATATTTCGGCATTTTTACATAGTTTATTTAGTTTATTCAACCCTATACGGACAGTGCGGTGGAACTTACGAGCTCGCCGGACGAATTCACCACCTCCCTCGGATCACTTCACCCCCCTCTCTGTGCCCGGGTATGGGTGAGCGCCAGATCACGTGGCGGAATAAAGGCGTGTGACTGACTCAGCAATAACGAAAAAACAGTTAGGGCGCAGGCGAGCTGGTGTAAGTTTACCATTTTTTACCACCCGAGACTGGGTGGAAGAAACACGACGACGTCAGCAATAACGTAGTTTCCACTGCATTGTCAGTTTAGGGGTGAAAGGGTAAAAAAAAGAAAAAAGACATTACGTAGAAACACAGCATGCCTGAAAGTTATGTCAATGTGCTTTGGACGTTCTGTAAACATGTACTTTGCCTTGTGTCTGAGCGAGTGGTATGGCTATAGAAGGCATTGCACTAGAGGAAAGGGAAAGAGAGAAATAGTCGTCTGCTTCGTAGACTGAGCGGTACCTAACATACGGCTAGCATGCAAACATGTTTTAAAGTCACGTCATTTCGGCGATTTCCGGCGCAAATGCACCTGTGCGGGTTATCGTACAGTATTATACACGATAAAATGATTCACCGAACAAAATCTTGCTGTCCCCCGACGTGCAATAAGAAATAGATAAAAAATGAGAACAACTTTGTAAACAGCAGATCGGTATAGGACTGCCATTTCCGGCGATTAGTAAAGGCAGCTGCAGTAGCTTTTCACTTGATGGTGTTCTAGCAACTATAAATTAAAGGCCTGAATTAAAATCAAAAAGAAGACGGCCTCACCAAATAAGTGACAACCGCGTGTATTTTCTTTTTTTTGATAGCAAGTAATTTGCACAGAATTTGTTGCTTCTAAGCCTTCGATATGGAGACTTTAGAGGGCTTACATTATCGTAGATGTTTGTAGTGGTCTATTTACAACCAAAATACCTTTTTGTGAAGCTTCGATGGCGCTTGGGGAATAAGCTACCATGGGTACTCGATTGTCTTCAATGCGCCGCCGAAAACCAAACGACGCGAGTACGCCGGCAGCGTGTTGTGTAAAAAACGTTCATTGTTATTTATAAAAAAAAGTAAAGTAGCTAACTTTAACTTGATGCGATTTCTTAACAAAATTCTACCAGTTATTGAGGATTTCCTTACGCACTTACGTGCGTAAAGAAATCCGCCTTGCGGTGTATTGTTTCTAACCACGGAATGTTTTTCTTCAGTGGTTGCTGGCCCTTCGCCCCGGTTTTCCGACAGCGTGAGCGGAAACAAATTCAGTTTCCCCGATAAATTTAGCGGAAAAATTAACGTTACGTGACCTGGCCACCCATTCAGTCTCCCCGCTAAATTTGGCGCGAAAATCGTTGTCACGTGACCTGACGTCACGGGACCTACAGACGAATTCAAGTTCCCCGCTAAATTTAGCGGAAATACTTACGTCACGCAACCTATGAACCAATTCAAGTTCCTCGCTAAATTTGGCGGAAAAACGTGGCGACGATATGACGATCGTCATAGTCATATCGTCGAATAAGTGGCACCATTGTCTCAACGCATCATGCCGCACAATGATCCCCCATCTTTTGTTGATTTGTTTTGTTCGTACGACGTTTTTTTAAAAAAAAAGCGAGGCTTTTTCGATCTAGTTCCTCCTTCCTGCTGACGCAGTAGACGCCGCAGCTGAGGGGGTAGTACTGCCGGTGGACGTGCTACTGATGTAACCGAACGAAGTACTCTAGCAGCACATTTACTGAAATCAAAACAACAGAGCACTAAAGGCTCTTCCTGGAACTGCCGTCGGCTGCACCGAAAGCTATGGCTTTCGGCGCAGCCGACGTGCAGCGGACGGGTACTGCCAGAACGGCCTGCGGTTTGTCGTCTGCTATCGAGATCGGACGCGTGCCCTCCAACTGCCGAGCCCGTTAAAATGCCCGGATGTATGAAGACGGTGCAGCAGTCCAACAAGATGCAGGGAGTGCAAGATGGCGCCGGCCTGGGAGACAGATTTCGATAAATGCCACCTAGGATATCCTCTTTTTTTTTTTTTTTTTTGTCTGGTGCAACCACAATATAAAAAAAAGCTAAGTAAGATGCAGGCACCAAACTGGTAGTTGGTGCTCACTCACAGATTAAGAAACGAATGGGCGTGGCTCGTTATGTCAGTTCACGTTTCTCGCTACGTGATTGGCTCTTCGGCCTTCTCCTCGGATAATGCTGTATTCTCATTGGCTGCGGAATAATAATGAGATGTTAGGAACTCGTTACGTCCCGTGTTTTTGAAGCTCTCAGTGACCTTTATTTTATACATATGTATAGAATGCCGCAGGCCTGAGCGGTGTCGTAATGCACATATGTAGATGGGGAGCGAGTGTATCTCAACTTTCCCTTAAAGGGGTAGGGAAACGAAATTTCAGCGCTCATTTTCTGGCTTTAATGTGTTGCATGTTGCACCCTAACCTCAAAAACACCAGTCCTCCGTTGAAAAGCACAAGAAAACTAATTTTAAAGCTAAATAAACGATCTTCAATGTGCACCTGGTGGATGCATGCGGAGCCTATTTGGGAGGTAGTCTAGCAACGTTGTGGAAACTGCTACGTAGTCGTGACGTAGCAGTTTCCTTCGGAGCAGCGCCGCTCTTTGGTATTTCAACATTTTCCTTCTTAGCTTTCCTCCTCAACTCACAAGTCGCGCATTCTACCAAACGGTTCAAGAAGACGGAAAGGAAGGACTCCCCTCTTTCTCGGACCCTCGTTCGTGCAACCGGACATAGCCATTCTCCCCCTAGAAGATTAGCACGTCGCTCAAAACTCGAACAAAAGTTGCTTTCCCCACCTCGTTCAGCCCTAAGCTGACAGTGATGTGGAAGCTACGTGCTCCTTGGGCCAGCCACACGCTCGTCACCCCACGGGCACTTCGAGCGGCTCGGTTGTAACGCGCTGACGCTATTGACACCATCACAACGCTGACAACGCCACCAAGGGCAAAGCTCATAACCACGCCTGCCTTGCTACTCCACGAACGCGGGAAATCTTTTCTTTCTGTTTTTGTTTGCGCCGGATATCCCATGACGCATCGCGCTCTCCGTTCGCTTCTCTTCGAGCGCTTGCTCGAGTGCACCGTTTGGAACGAAAAATATGGCCAATCGTTCAAAATACAAACGCGCGATTATCATTTACGGTTATTATACGTCATGCTTGACTCATTTCCGAACGAAATCTGAATACTTCAATTTTTGTTTCCGTACCCCTTTAATTCGTTTCCTTGAGCAACCACGAGCGGAAAAGGCTAATTCAAATGTAAGTATCAAACTATCCACCTCTCCTATAAGTATCTCCCTCTCTCTCTCTCTCTCTCTCTCTCTCTCTCAAAAAAAAATAAAAATAAAAAAAATAAAAATTTTGATGTAGATTTTTGAGGCACAGTTGTGCTAGGTGGCCAATGGGAAGAAACGGACTAGCCAACGTTACTAGAAAAATTCAGTTGGGAAACTGCCATAGAGCCTGCTTTCAAAATGTGACTGACGGAACGCTAAAGAGAGAAGGAGGTTTCCCCCTCTCTTCTACAGCGTTCCGTCTGCTTCCTCCTTCCCGGCCCGTCTTACCCTCGCCCTTCGTTTTTTTGAATGTTTGTCGAACCGGATTTTAAGGTCCAACTTTCGAGAGTCGACTGGTTCGACGAACCTTCGAACGTTTAACCAGAACCGACCGGTTCGACTTTGTGGTCAGTGTGGCCAGACCTTGATACAAGCATGTCGAGGTTTGGAGAATTTTTTTTATGCAAACGGCTATTTTAATTTTATGAACAGTTGCAATTAAAAGAAACTAATTCTGATCACCGAAGAAGTTAATAACTTAATTTTTTGTACTGTATTAACTGCAATAACCAATCAGTGCTGCCCTTAATTCATCCCTTAGCCATCACCATCAAATATGAAGCCAACTGGCCAGCCAACCTGTCGCGCATGCGCATAGCAGTCGAACTTGAGTCGAACCTTTGTCGAACTTATTACGAAAAGCTCGAAAAAGTCGAACCTTGTCAAACTCGAACCTGGACCGGTTCGCGAGATTCCTAATCGCAACGCCGCCTTTCTCCTAGGGTGACCACCCGTCCCGCGACTCGCGGGACTGTCTCGTAAGTTGAGGGCTCTTGTCCCGCGCCCTTCAAGGAATACCAAAATCTTCAAAATGTCCCGCATTGCATGGCTGTCCCTATCCGCACCCGAAGTGCGAATAAGGGTGGATCCGCACCCGAGGTGCGAATTAGGACGCATTTTTATCCGCACCTGAGGCGCGGATAAGGGTGATTTCTTATCCGCACCCAAAGTGCGCATACGCACGAAGTATTATTATTCTCATTGTTATTATTATCAGCAGTAGTATTATTAATTATTCTTCGAGTAATTTTAAGTCAACTCAGAGTGCGATTGCAGCGCCACAAAATGCGGAGCGGCTTTATTTGCTTTGCTTGGTGTCACCGTGCCGCCGACCGTGCTCAGGTGCGTGCTTCGTTTAATCGCCGGTTGGCAGCCTGTCTACGGTTTAAACACTCTCTAATTTATTGTTATTTTCGGCATGTGGAGTCTATTAAAGCAGTTGAGCACGTAGTCAAGGCGTCAAGGTCTGTCGAGGCAGTACCTACTGCAGTACGTTACAGCCACGCTGGCTGCGCCGGCCCTATCCGAGTCGGGGTCTTCGGACTTTCCTGAAGACGATGTTTCTGACGTGGTACAAGTTGGAACTGCCTTCGATGACTTCAAATCCTTCGAGAAGGCCTTCAAGGATTACCAACAGGCAACGCATCAGCTCTTCGTGGTGCACAGGTCGAATTCTGTTGAAGTGGCGAACAGGGG